TGGTTGGATATAAAATACAGTTCTAAGAGCTATGTCCAGATTTTGTGACAAAAGTTCTTTCAACCATACATTGCAGCTAGATCAGTTTTCATTCCTCAGCTGACCCGCACTGAGCCCTGAATTGATTCTTCTGGATGAATTGTTTACCAGGAGCCAGCACATTAGCATTGGGGGGAGGGGCTGTTAACACTGCAGGTGGGGGTTCATTTTATACTATGGCCCTGACAACGTGTGTTGTAGGTACTGAGCAGATAGTAGAGTGATTATATCCTAAAGAAGTGGTTAGGTTTTGAAGTCTCTGGAACTTAGAGGCTCATACTACTTAGTAATTCTTGCACTTGCTTTTCAGGGCCATTTACAGGGTAGGACTTGGCTAATTTTCAAGAAGAATTGGGAGTTTGAAGGGCTTTGTGTTGTTTGTTTTCTGGAAATTAGTCCTTTCTAAGTAGTTAGAAATCGTTGGCTGATGAATGTGAATATTGAATTAGTCTCTAAATAATCCTTAACACAGTATTTAAAGTTCTTGCTTTTGCTTGTTAATGTCAATGAATGGCAGCTGTCAAGCCTTCCTCTAACGCAGTGGTTCCCACGTCAGGATGATTTTTGCCCCCAAGGGCCCCTTGGCGATATCAGGAGCCAGTTTGACTCGCATGGCTGGTGGGTGCACCGGGCAGCTCCTCACAACAGAATTACCTGGTCCCCAATGTCGGCAGTTCCGCCTCGAGGAACCCTGCGCTTCCAGAGGGAAGCGAGCGAGGGGGTCTGAGTTGCAGCCCAGCACTGACAGTGGCGGGCCCTGGGCTTCCCTCAGGAAACGCGGGGTCCTCTGTGGCGCTCTGGAATTCCTGATGACACCCAGTCCCCGGCACTGGTAACGAGACCCTCCAGAGGGACTCTCCTGGCATATCTTTTCCTGCCTGTTCCCTCATCGCCATAACACGGTGCGACTACAAGTGTGCACTGCTCTTCAGAGCTGTTGGTTCCCCTGGACCCATTTCTGGCCACAGAGAACCGGTTGTCGACCTCGTGCAGCTGAGCTTCCACTGGCCGTGCTGCTGCTCCACCGCAGGGACGTGGGTGCTGGGCTCCTGGACGGATGTTGAGCGGCTGCGGGTTTTCCCACGAATGTCTTTCTCTGCTCAGCTTCCGAGATTAAGAGTCTGTTTGATTCTGCTCCTCAGTTAACATGAGTGTTACTATGAGTAGGTTTTGATTTGGGTTTAATATTTATAGATCAGGACTAGGGTGTTGCCGGGACTTCCTTTGTTTGATACTTCGTGCTCCCGCCTTCGCCTTCTCCCTCCTTGGTAAGCAGTCGGGACAGTGAGCTTCCCTGAGCAGCAGTTCAGTGAAGATGTTCCTGAGGGTGTCTTCCTTCAGTCAGGCAGTATTGTGGAGTATGTTTTCTACCCTGAAAGAGATTTTTTTTTACTAGGAATGGACTTTAAAGAAATGCTTTGAGAATTAAGTTGTCATCAGGGATCCACAATGCTGTTGGAGCCATTTCTAGAAATAGCTGCTTTTGTATGTCTTCTCTGAGGAAGATTTTGATCGCTTTATGCGTATTTTTCAAAGAGATTCCTAAGCCGTGCTGACTGTTTCCCAACCCTCCTGCAGCTCACCAGAACAAGCTGGAGGAAATGATCAACGAGCTGGCAGTGGCCATGACCGCGGTGAAGCACGAGCAGGAATACATGGAAGTGCGGGAGAGGATACACAGAGCGAGTAAGTCAGTGGTCTCAGAGCTGCTGACCCGCGGCGGGCTCGCGCCAGGGCACGCCAGAGCGGCACCACCGCCGCTGGCCTCCATTTTCCTCGTTTGGAAGTTTGCAAACATCATACTAATGCATTGACCTAAGAAGCACCCGTGCAAGGGTATCTTTTGAGTAGATGTGTTTGTAGAGCTTTGTACGGCACCAGTTTACTGTTGGGACATTGCAAGTCTTGTGGGGACCCTTAGAGTTTAGGAGAAAGAAAATTCACTCAAAAAGGAGACTTGAGTGCTGTGTCTACCTAGTTATTCTAAAAAGTTAAGGCTATAGAATTTGATCAGAAACTTGAAAGAATGTGAAATAAATCGAGCAGAATAAAATATATAGTCATGACTGTTACTTTAAGAACTAAATCCTTAGCTAATGAGTGGGATAAATCATGAGACTTGTTCCAGGTTGGTAGTAAATATCAGTATTGGTCCATGAAACTGAGAAATCTCCCCCACCTAGAACGAATGCCAAGTACACAGTAGGTGCTCAATAAATATGTTTTTTGTTTTGTTTTTTTTTAAAGAGACGTACACATTTTGATTTAGTAAGTAATGCTTTCTGGGTAACTGATCTTGAAATAATCTCTTAATTTTGTTAAAAGTCAATTTTCTGATTCAGAAAAAAAAAAAAGATTATAATGTAGGGACGTTTCACTGTGAGGGAAAAAGAATGTTGGTTGGATTTTAACCCTAGAAGTGTTACCTTGGGCAAGTAACTTTCTCTCTCTCTTCCCCATACGAAATAAGCAGATTATATTTGATTGTACTCTGAATCTTAAAGGTCCATTTAAGTCTAAAATTCTCTGCTTCTAACTGTTGAGTTGCTTGGGGACAAAAGTATTTAGAGTACTACGAATGGTGTGCAAATGTTACTTTTACACAGGGTAAGAGTAGGGGATGATTTTTCATGCTTCTCTGTTATTGTTGTTAAATTGTGTTTATTTGTTTATCCTCAACAGTCAACGACAACACGAACAGCAGAGTGGTTCTCTGGTCCTTCTTCGAAGCTCTTGTTTTAGTTGCCATGACATTGGGACAGATCTACTACCTGAAGAGATTTTTTGAAGTCCGGAGGGTTGTTTAAAAAGCCCTTTTTTCTGATGATCCGAAACTCATAATTCACTGTTTACCAAACATCTTGGTCATAATAATGTCATTTAGTTCGTATGTTTTTATTTTCTGAATTGTACATTCACAGCCTATGTTTCTTGGTGATTAATAGATATTGGGAAAGCGATAGTGAGAATTTGACATTTGATTGGCACAATGTATTTGAATTCTGCCTCATTATGCAGGCCCTTCCAGAGCTTGAACACTGTAAATGAAATGTAGGCGTGTAGTCCTTCTTACATCTTCTTTTGTTTTCATAGTAGAATGCAGTTTGTTCAGGGTAGTACTTTACTAAAATGACTGCATTCTTTTGACCCCTTATCCTGAAGTTCAAGTCATTAAAGATTCGTTTTGTTTAGTTCTTATGAGAAACAACAGTCTGAATCGACATTCTCTACCCACCTAATGGCCGCTCTGTGACTTCAGAGCGTGCTGCCAGCTTGGTTCTTCTAGACTTTATCTATCTTGTTTTTGCGTTAAAGATAAGACAACCCAACAACATTCCCCGCCCCCCCTAAATTTTTACTTTGAACTTTAGGACTTCACCTTTACTAAATTGATGACACAGCAGCTAATAACCTTTTTTGATTTCTGCCTAACCTTGTAAGGAGTCTCTAGTAGAGCCAGTTCTCTGGGTGTCGCAGCTGCCGTAGCTCTTGTTCCTCCTCTGCTGGCACACGCTTCACTCTGGGCACGTGGGAGGCCTGCGTTCACGTCATTGGGGAAATCTGGTTTCTCACGCACATGGTGAAGCCTTTTGGATTTCGTTGCAGTGAGTGAGATACAGCCACTATTTCAGTTCTGATCAGCGGCGTTTGGCCACTTGTTAATTAGGGTACCGACAGCACTGTCAGTACTAGGGTTTTGGTTTTGTTTTCTTGGGTCTTTTTTGGCACATGTGAATTTTATTTTGTATAAAACGAAATGACTCTCTCTTGGTCTCTGATGATGTGTTTAAAATTGAAGGAGCCTCAGGTTTGGTGTGGGGATGATCCAGGATTATGTTGTGACTGATGTATTTTAGTTACTTGTACATTTTTTTGGATCTTTGCAAAGGTAAAACTACAAGTAACGAGTTTTATAGAATTAATTTAAATTTGTTACCGGTTTTCATGTTCAGGATAAACACTTTTTCAACCTTGGGTGAAAATACTTGGCAGCAGCTTAAGGTGACTGAGTTTTACCTTAGGACAACTGTTGCATGCCAGTTTTTCTGCGTGTGTGAGAAAACACTTCAAAATTGAATTAAAATATGTAAATTTAAATTTGGTTGTGTATCGAATCTGCCCCAGGTTCAGTAAATAAACAATTCTTTTTAAAAACAGTCTTTGTATTCTGGTTTATATATGAATTCACATTTATTATATACCAGTTTTCTATTCATAATTGAAATGAGACATGTCCATGTTTTCTGAGTGTTACTTTTTATATCCGTAAACTTGATGATAGTGAACAGGAGCCCAATTTTAGGTTCCCCTGTGTGGTTTCTTCCACGGGTCAATGTTAACATCTTTTATTTCATGTGGAAAAAGTAGTTTTGGGTGATTTTTTATTCATCCACCTGTTGGATTATGGATGTGGGGACTAAGTTTCAGAGAAAGATTTGCTGAAGGCTCCCAGGTGAAGAGTGACCAGAAAACCAAACCTCTGCCTTTAGGAATGATTCCTCTCCCTCATTGCACTGGGGGCCTGCCAGCAATACAAAGCCTGGCATTTCCTGAGCACCGGGGAGTGTCCGGGCAGGATGCTAAACGACACGGTCTGTCTCATCTACTCCTCAAAACCACCGTTACGCTGGGCGATATTATTCTTAATTTGAAAATAAAGAAATGGGCTTGGAGAAGGTCCAGAACGTAGTAAACAGAGCCCCAAACGCAGGGGCAGCGCTGCCCTTGCCTCCGGCTTCGTTTTCAGAGCTCTCTGCGCAGGTCCGTCTATGAAAGTGCTCAGTGGGGTTTTGAGGAGGTGAACCTGTTTCAGTGAAACTTGCCTTGGCCTTTTATTTTTCACTTCCTTTAGTTTAAGATGTTTATTCATCCCCAAATACTGGCTGTGTACTTACTACCAGGGGAGCCACTGGGATGCAGAGGAAAACCGCCCATCGTGGGGTTTACCTTCCAGTGGGGAGATGACGCGCGTCTGTGAGTTACCCTCATGGCAGGCGCTGTGGGTGAGTGGCTTTGGCAGGAGAGGAAGCCTCGCTGTGATGATATGGAAACCCCTGGTGAAGTAGGGGAAGCCTCGCGCATTAATGGAGAAGGGGGTGCCCACGGGGCCCGGCACTGAAGCTCGCTGAGTGCGCGGGGCCCCAGCGAAGAGGAACACGTGGACGACACGGCAGGTTCTAGTCTAGGATCTGATCGCAACTTCCTAGGAAGTCAACCAACATCTGTTACGTACCGGACACGGTCCCCTACTGTTAACCGGGGGCTCGGCCCGGGTCCATTCCTCCAGCCCGCGGCACTGTGCTGCCCTCTGCCTCCCGCGGCGGAGAAAGAGACGGGGCACCATCCCTCCCGCCCAACTGCCGCTCGGGGTGGAGAGGCGCCCCGGCCCGGGTGGCTGCGCGGACGCCGGACCGGCAGCCGTGCACCTGCGGGGCCCCCGCCGCCGGCTTTCACTGCCCCCTAATCCGCTTCCCGGGCACCTGCGGCGAGGACGCCTTTCCGCTCCCCGGAACTTCGCAGCCCGAGCACGGTTCCCGGCCGGACCGGTCAGCGGTCGGAAGCGGAAGTGTTCACTGCGGGCGTTCCGGAGGCGGCGGCGCTCGCTATGGAGCACGTGACGGAGGGGTCCTGGGAGTCGCTGCCGGTGCCGCTGCAACCCCCCGGGTGCTGGGCGCGCTG